GTTTTGACCAGATAGTTTATACTGGGGACCACGGGATGGTCCATTAAAAGATCCGGAAGATCATCAAAAATTCCGTTAAAAGTGTCTAGAAGTTATTAAATACTTAAATACCACCTAGAAATCATCCATGATAATAAATAAAAAATGTGTCTATGAGCAGTTCTAAAAAACCATAGAGTGCTTAGATCAGTTTTCTTGACCTATCCACTTTAATGGATGTTCCGGATATTCCGAAGGACCATCCAATGGACCCTGGGGTCCATTTTCCAGTCACAACTCCGAGTTCATTCTGATGAGTTGTCTATTATTTTCCAGAGGAGCGTTCATGGTCTCCAGGGTCTGTTTTCCGATCATAACTCCGAGTTCATAATTATAAGACGTCTATGAGAGCTTACGAAAAAAACGGAGTTCTTGGATCAGTTCCATGGATTGAGCCTTTTTACGGATGTTTCGGATCTTTCGGAAGACCATCCACTGCACAATGGTCTCAAAGCCGTATTTAGGAAGACAAAAATGCTTGCGCCCAAACGTTTTAGGTATATAGTGTCTTCGGGAAAGTTTCTTCATATTGTTTGGCCGATCTTTTTATGTTAGTGAAATTAGGGTGGTCCACAAAATTGGAGATTTGAAAAAACAAAATTATTTGAGATAGACTAATGCAATTTTCTAAAAGTTGTAGAACAATCAATTCGAAGCAATTTTGCTCAAGACACCAAATTTTTGTCTCTTAAGGTTCATGAGTTAAGATTTTTTAAACAAGCAGGTTACAATGGCCCATAAAAACAGATTTCTTCGAATATCTTTTCATAAGTTCATTTCTCGTAAAAACCTTGTTTTGGTTACATTTAGAACTTATGATGACGCATATTTTTGCTGAAGCAACCAGGCTGCCATCTTTTTTATTATTAGAAAATTAATGGAGATTTTCTTCGAAAAAAATGGTTCTATTAAAATGAAAATGTCTCTAAATGGAGCAAACCGATTTTCAAACTTTCGATTTCATTTAAAAGATCGTGTTTTTTTTTCAGTATTTGTGGAAAAACTGTGAGGGCGTTTTTTGTTTAAAGTATTTAATTTAATTTAAAAAAAAAATCTTTTTTTTTATCAAAAACTAGCCATAACTTTTAAATAGGGAGATTCAAATTAGTGACTTCTGCAAAAATATGCGTCATAAAAAGTTCTAAAAGTATTTAGAATAATGTTTTTACGAGAGGTTAGGGTGGCCCCTAGAAAATCGGCTTTCTTTAAATATTGTTTATACGTTGATCACCAATAAAAATATTTAAAGAAAGATTTTCTAGGGGCCACTCCAACCTACTTGTTTAAAATAACCATAAGTCATGAACCATAAGAGATAAAAATTTGATGCCATGAGCAAAGTTGGTTCAAATTGATTGTTCTACAACTTTAAAAAAACTGCATTAGTCTATCTCAAGTAATAAAAAAGGTTGAATTTTTAATTCACCAATTTTAAGCACCACCCTAATTTCAATTCGGCTAAAAATACGAATAAGCTTTCCCCAGACACCATATACCCAAAAGTGATGGTTTTGGTGCTAATATTTTTGTCTTCATAAATACGGCTTTTATGGATGTTCAGGATCTTCCTGGTGAACCATCTCGTGGTCCCAAAGGTCCATTTTCCGTCTAAGCGTTCATATTCCGGTCACAACTCCAAATTCATTCTGATAAAATTTTTATGAGTAGTTTCGCAAACTCATGGAGCTCTAGAATCAGTCTCATGAATTGAAAACTTTTGCGGATGTTCCGGATCTTTCGGTGGACCATCCTGTAGTCCCCAGAGTCCAAATTCTAGTCAAAACTCCGAATTAATTGTAGTAAGACGTTTATGAAAGGTTTAACAAAAACATGGAGCTCTATGAATTGACCACTTTTACGGATGTTCCGGATCTTCTTTTGAACCATCCTGTGGTCCCCACAATCAATATTTAGGTCACAACTCTGAATTCATTCTGATAAGACGTGTATGAGTATTTTCGGAAAGTTCACGGAGTTCTAGGATCAGTTTAATAACTTTACAACTTTTACGGATGTTCCAGATCTTCCCGTGGACCATCTTGTAGTCCCCAGAGTCCATATTCCAGTCAAAACTCCGAATTAATTGTGATAAGACGTCTATGAGCGGTTTCGAAAAAAAACACGGAACTCTAAGATCAGTTTTATGAATTAACCACTTTTCAGGATGTTCCGGATCTACCGGTGAACCATTCCATGGTCCCCAGAGTACATTTTCCAAACACAACTCCGAATTTATTGTGATAAGACGTCTATGAGTGGTTTCAAAAAATCCGTGGAGCTCTAGGATCAGTTTCATGAATTGACCACTTTTACGGATGTTCCGGATATCATAATGGATCCGTAGTCCCCAGGGTCAATTTTTCGGTCATAACTCCGAACTCATTCTGATAAGACGTGTATGAGTGGTTTCGAAAAATCCGCGGAGCTCTAGGATCAGTTTCGTGAATTGACCACATTTACGGATGTTCCGGATCTTCCGGTGAACTATCCCGTGGTCACCAGGACCAATATTCTGGTCACAACTCCAAATTCATTCTGATAAGACGTTTATGAGTGGTTTCGAAAAATCCGCGGAGCTCTATGATCAGTTTCATGAATCGGCCACTTTTACGGATATTCCGGATCTTCCACAGGATCAGACTTGTGTCCTACCGGAAACTGAATCGTCCCAAAAGGTAGCCAACATTCTGCTTAACAACTTCTCAAAAGACATCAGAAAGTTATCTCTTCAAATTGCCGTACAATCAGTGTTTGGTCCCAATTAGCTCTAATCCCATATGCTACGTGTATTCGTTAATGCCAGATCGACCGTACTATAGGAATCCGGCAAGAACGAATCCACACTATAGGAATCTTGACTGTATATGGCTATGGCAATGTTTTTGAGTCATAATTAAATGCATAAATATTTGTTATGTAAGCTGTTACATAAATGCTTTTGTCCAAAATTTTTTAGTTATTTCGATCCTTTTTTAATCTAAATTATATTTTTATTGCATGATTTTTCAATCAATTTCCATATGAGATCTTTAACTTCACGTAAGTTTAAGTAAAATTATTACAATCAAACACCAAAAATTTGGTTGTAGATTTTTTTGTACACTCAGGCCATCCCTTATAAAAAAAATACCATACACGAACGATAACCCAAATGATTGAACTATTCCAAAAATAGTTTGGATGATACCCCGAACACGTTGGAGGCGAACCAGCCTCAGGCTGAAAGCCTCCTTATTAAAGATAAATCAATCAATCAACCCCGAACACGTCGTTAAGCAAATTAACATTTTTATTAGGGATTACAAAAAATTTCAAAGTTTTTATCCCTTGGCTGTCTCGCGATTCGCGAGTTTGGAGTGACGTTTGGAAAGCGGACAAAAAAACGCATTCGTACGAAAATGGGAATAGCAACATCGTTCGAACGAACGATGTTCGAAAGTTAGAATTGCTTCGAACGAAAACGGGAATGGGAAATTGCTTTCGTTTCGAACGAATCCGGTTCGTACGAAAACGGGAATAGAGGTGATAGTCAAATGGAAGCTGAAAGCATAAAGAATCGTTTGCATGCATTCAGCGAAGTGTTTTCGTAAGAAAATCCAGTGAAAATAGTGTTTCAATTTGGGTTGCCGAAAATAGTCTGTCATGCCGAAGCCGTCAGTTCCCCTATATGAAAACTTTTTTCGGTGTAATTTCTGGTATTCTTTTTGTTTGTGTTCGTACACAGGGCTTTCGGATGAAACCCAAAACATGGGTATAGGAAGCAGGATGATGCTGGTTAAGTGAATAATAAAATATTGTTTTATTATGTTACTCGTGAAACAGTTACATTTTGCCTATACTTTGAGATACAAATAAAGGTCAGGGGAAGAAGAACAAAAAGGTAGCAATGGAACAACTGAAAGTTAGCAAATAGGTACGAACCAAGTGAATTGTACTGTGACATCGTTTCTGCGGACGACTGTAAATATCGAATGTAAATAAGGAAAAACAAAATGGAAAATGTGAGAAGTGAGAGGAGGCACAATTTGTTTCCTATCTTGCAAGAGTTAAAGTATTGGAAAATTCCGAGGAAAAATAGAACTGAACACAGAGCCTTCAATCCCAAGCATCCTCTCTGAACACATCAATTGCATTTAAATACATAGTATTTGCGCTTCAAGCTGAACAGCGTGTGCACCAACTACATATCATCTAAGAAGAAGTGTACAAAACAGTTAGCAAATTCTTAGTCAACAACGTATAAGTTTTTTAATTGGAAACACAACCATCATCAGCTGATCATTTTGAGAAACTGGGAAAATTGTGCAATAAGAATGGGGATTACTCAAACAGAAAGTTGCATGATTTCAAACTAAATAACAAAGAAAAAAGACGGGATGAACAAAAAGAAAAACGAAACTGAGACTCTTACAACAGTGTGATTTCACAGATTGAACTCGGGGGGTTTACAATAAGTTTGTCATTGAAAACGTCAAGTAACTCACTGCTAACTGCTATCAAACACTAATTTACACTCTTACGAGAAGAACTTTAAATTACTGGTGTCTTTCTACTAACGTTTCTGTGACTCTTCTGCTACTACTCACTAGCATTTAACTATCTGGGTGACTTGAGATGAAGACAGAAACAAAAGCCGAGCAAAGATGTGAGAAAACGAACATTCAATCAACTGACAAAACGTGCGAGTGATCTAACACTACACAACGCATCAAATGACCGATGAATGCTCTTGAGTGCTGTGATTACGCTTGCTTCTTGTGGTTGATTTGCTTATTGCATGGAATTGAGTTAAATTTCTTTACTATATGCAATGTAATACAACTATTGTTTATTATAAACTTCCTTTGCTACCGTCATCATCGTTCCGGATATCCTCGTGCCGTCAATCCTCTTCCTGCTGTCAGTTTGCAATTAGAATTTCATCCACCATCAATTTCTCAGCAGTAAAGTTTAAACGCGAGTTTCATTTTACCAACATATCCAATCCACACACCGTAACTGCTTTATTCGCGTCCTTTTGCACATGTATTGTTGGGCAGGCAAAATAAAGAGCTGGGCGTGGGGGATTACATTTATTACACTCAGATTTTCGACTTTGTATACGCTGATGCAAAAAAGGGGATTTTGATGTTGTTCTTGCTGTTGTGTTTGTTATTACTGTTGTGGTTTGTTCATTTGAATACCTCCAAAATTGTCCTACGAATCGTGGTTAAATTTTTTGTTTTCTCTATTTAATCGACGATGACGTACACAACGCACCCACCACCACACGTTCTGTATGAATACGTATTCTGCACACAATTTCCGTTCGCCTTGCTCGCTTGATTTGCTGTTGCTGTTATTGTTGTTGTTGAAGTTGTTGTAGTTGATGGGTTTCGTTCGCTATTTGGATCTGGGTCTGTTTTCCAGCAGCTTAGAAACCGTGCACCTTCAACTGGTCAGGTTTCGCTAGGCCCGACTTGGTTAACCACTGGCAAATGTTTTCGCGCTGATCGCCCTGTAGTTGGAGGACCTCGCCGTACTCGGGATGCTCAATCACAGTGCCATTGCACGCAAATTCCTGTGGAAAGAAGGAGAAAGGTGGAAGAATGTATTAATGGTTGATGATCGGGGTTGGTTGTTGTTAAATTTTCTAGTGACTCTATGCCGGACGGATGAATCTTGTGGTGACCAAATAAACACCAAATACTGAATAAGCAGCTATTTCACGCACAACAAAATCGTTTGCAACGGAGTCTAAAATCTATGTTAGTGATCAACGAAAAGCGACCAAACTTCCTTCAATCATGTCCAACGGTGGTTTAGGAGTTTCAACTACTCATGATCATTGCTCTTTCTGCTCTGCTTAACTTGGTGAAATATTGTAGCGAAAATGAGTGTAGTTCGTCCCAATGCGGGAAAAGTGCAAAAATTCTTCGAGAACAATATTATAATATATCATAACGTCCGAAATTGTGTTTTTATTGAGATAATAGACAATGAAGTTGCCTTGCGCTTTGAAAAGGCGCACAACTATAAACACGCGATTCTCTGTGCGAAGAGTGAGTTCAAAATCCCGGTATATGTGGATTGTGAAGCAGTAACCGTTCGAGTGCATGACCTTCCGCTGGCATGGCCACAAGCCACTGTTATGAACCACATGGCAAAGTACGGCACAGTGATTTCCAGTCGACATGGAGAAATGGAAGCAGTACTTCCCAGGAGTCCTGAGCGGTGTTCGAGTTTTGCGAATGCGACTCGAAAGCGCCATTCCATCGTACATCACGGTCGACAACGAAACAACGTTGGTAACGTACGACAAGCAACCAAAAACTAAAGAGCCTGAATTTATAAAGAGACGATATGTCAAAATTGGAACAATCGATTGTCTGTCAAAGTCATAGGAAAAGTCATTCCAATCGAGCAGAAGACCTGTCAAATGGATAATATGTCGCCTCTTTATAAATTCAGACTCTTTACCAAAAACGTGCCGCCATTGTGGCCGACCAGCACATCCCAAACAGAAATGTTTGGATGTAGCCACATCGAACAATAGCACCGCTCCAGCAGCTCCACCAACCGAGGGGATAGGGAATAATACGTTTTATTTGAAAAATAAGAGCGGGTAGGGATCTAATTGTTAATAATGGTCATCGGCCCAAGCAATGCCTAATAGGCGAGGAGGCCTTATAAATAAACGCAATAAAAAAAAGCTACTCATGAAATTGCATCCCTTTTTCGTGAACAATTTACCGGCGTTTTCCTAATTGAACCAGCTAACCTATAAGATATTGTCGATGCCACTGTCGTTGTACCTCTTTTACCTGCCATTGGTCCTCACCATTCGATAACAACCGATATTGTCCTAGCAGCAGCAACACGATTGAAAACACCAGTTTTGACCCCGATGGCATTCCAGCCATTATCATTAAAAATTGCATCTCCGTTGATATATTAATGCTTATTTGATTCTTCATTGGGATCTGATGTTTTTTTTCCTAGCTGCAGGAAAAACTCATTCAGTTTCTCGGTTCATAAAAGAGGATGCAAGCGTACTGTTTCCAACTATCGAGGTATTGCCATAGAGAGGTAACTCTAAGACCAGAAGGTCCCGAAGAAATGTGCTCAACTTTTTGGCAAAGCTCTGGTACTCTCTTCGGTCCCAAGCTAATCGATTCACCCCTCGAAACATAGGAAAATCCACTAACCCCTCATTTTATCTGTCAAACTTTCATAGCGAATCAAAACAAACATTGTGTAGTACTAGAATTTTGACTAGAATGGGGTACGTTAATCGTTTGCTTGGGACCAATATGCTAGTCAAGTAGTGAGCCAATTTAAAATCGTTAGTTTCCACCGGTTGGTATTGCCGCCTTGTGTGCGTCGTCAAAACTTTTTGAACTGATTGTTCTGGATTTCTTACCACAGAAATGCTCGCAATATAGGGGAATTTACGTATTCTCGGCAACTTAAGCAGCGACCTTCTTTCTATAGCCTTTTTCTCTATGGAACGCTCACATATGCAGTATTGGTTTGTTTACAATCTTTTGCTGCCAGCTGCTCTAACAATTTCAGTCGAAAGAATTGTCAAAAACTGTTTTGAAACGCTTTTACAAAGCTCCAATTTTCTCTAGTGAGAGCGAGTATTGTCGGCAACCAGTTTTTCTTCGGCAACCGTTCCATTTGAAGTGCATGTAAATCTGCTGTTCTATTATCGGCAACTCGAAATCAGCTACAATTTGTAGTGCGTGTGTTTCATTTCAAGAAAACCCTGCTAGATTGCTTTTTCTCAGTCGTAAAAATATAGTCAAATTGAAGCTGAAAGCATAAAGAATCGTTTGCATGCATTCAGCGAAGTGTTTTCGTAAAAAATCCAGTGAAAATAGTGTTTCAATTTGGGTTGCAGAAAATAGTCTGTCATGCCGAAGCCGTCATTTCCCCTATCTCATAAAATCAACATGAATTTGTTCCAAAACGGTCGACTGCCACCAACCTTGTGACATTTACTTCTTTCGCCGTTCGCCGAATGGAGAAAAGCTCACAAGTAGATGCGATTTATACGGATTCACTGTTAGCTGCGCTTGTACCTGACTGGACGGAAAATGTCTCACAACACTCGACGAAGAGTGTGTGGTTCTCCCATTTACTTCGCACACTCTTTTCCAACTAAACTGTGTGAAAGCGATCCACACAATGAGCGGTGCACTACGTGCGGCGCAGGGAGCGAACATAATACAACAAGCGCTAATGTCTTCTTTGAATTCTTTGCAGGCTTTGCTTACCACGAATGCATGCATAAGAGATGAACAAGGGCATAACGAATAAGAATTTTGTCTTTTTGCTGTGTTTCCAATGTGCAACCCTACACTGAGTGGCGCTCTTTGCGTCGGAGCGATGGCTACACATTGAGCTTTCGTTATTTCTGTGAGTGTGTGTCTGTGTTCTTTTCTCCGCTGTTTTACACTTGCACAGGGTGAAAGACTTTTTTTAATTTCAGAAAATCAGTACATTGCGCGCACTGAGTGATAAGATGACAGACCTGCTCGTAAAGTAAAAACAGGTATAAGGATAACGTTTTGCAAAGAAAGTGGAACGAAATATTACAAGACTAGTTGTTTATTTAGGTCTATGTCTGCCGCGCTCAGGTATAGCTTAGAGTAGAGTTTTAGGATATGCACTGCACGATAGATAACCGCATGCCAGAAGGGCGTACGTCCGCATTTATATTTTTTAACCTGAATTTGAAAGCGTTGCGAGGTGGAAGTTTGTTACGTAAATTAGGAGAGAATGAAGGTGATAAATGCAGGAAGGAATCTAGTTTTTTTTAATGTTGTCCCATTTTCACCTTCATATTAGATTAGGGAATTTTTCTACTCGAGGATCATTTTTTAGGATAGAATTTCGCTATATAAGGGACAGTGTTCGAAAAAACTCAAAAACTCAAATCTCATGCATGAGTTTATGCGCCTATGAGTTTTGCATGCATGATGATGATGATGCATGATAGTGATTTACCACCCATTGTAGCACGTAAACTAAGTCCGACAGCAGTGGGCTCGCTGTATGAAGAGCCAAAAACGGATTTGGTAGATCGATAGGCAAAGTCGCCAATACGCACCTACGGAACAATAAAGAATCTCCTTCCAGCAACTTGATCAGCCAATTGGTCAAAAAGACAAGCCCCCAAACAGGAAGATGCCCCAATGAGTGGGGAGAAGAGCCCATCCTTTATTCTCGAAATGTTATCGCGCCTGTTAATGCGCCTAAAGGGTGTCCACGATGAAATTGCCACAATATGAAATTGCTCTAACTTTTTAACCGTTGGGTAGAATTTAATGAAAATTTGGGTGGATTTAGTTCATAGTGCATTATTTACATCCTGCAAGTTTTAAAGTCCTGTGATCAAAACTCGCGGAAATGGAGTCGAAAGAACAGCTCGTGCGTGATAAAATCTTGCGTATTCATCACGAGAACAAGGATCTCTCGCATCGTTCCATCGCTAAAACGTTGGGAATCGCGAATTCCACGGTGTCGCGAGTGATTAAGCGGTTCGAGGAACGGTTGACCACCGATCGGAAGCCCAGAAGTGAAGGAAAAAGTATTCCGTACAACACCAAAAATCACAACCGCGTAGTTGGGGCCTTCAACCGAAATCCGAACGCCTCCGTTAGGGATGTAGGGTAAATGTCGGCTTCGGCACCCATTGACTGTTTTCGGCAATCAAAATTTAAACGTTAATTTCACTATGTTTTACCATCAACACACTTCCCTGAATGTATCCAAATGATTCTTTAGTCTTTCAGCTTCAATCTGATTATATTTGTAGGACCGAGCAATCCTGTTATGCCAGATTTTTCTTCAAATGAAGCATACGTAATACAAAATGGGGCTGATTTCGAGTTGCCGATAATAGAAGTACTGGGCGATTATGAAGCAGCACCTTCTTAAACGACCTAAGGTAGTGAAGACAGTCGAGGAACTGAAGAAAGTATGGGTTTACATGCAAAAAACGGTTGATTCACAGGTTGTGCAGAATCTTATGGCCGGGGTTAAGGCCAAGGTGCGGGCATTTGCGTATGGACTGTAAATAAAATACGAGTAAAATGGTAAAATGAAGTTTAATAGTTATTTCTCAATCCCTGAAAATTTGATGGCAATCGGATGAAAACTCGAATTTTGCGAATCAATTTCATCGTGGACACCCTTTATGAATGTTACGAAATATTAATGTGCCTATGAGTTTTGCCTGGCAAAATTCAACGTCGCAAAATTCATTTCAGGTTCGAGAATTCATTTCTTTATATGTCGGCTCTATTAATTGTTATTGCTCTTATTTGTACAGCAGGGGTTGGAAAACTAATAGAACATGCATAAGCATGCTATCAATTGACGTTTGAGTGGTTTTTATGAGTTTAAAGCTGGAATGCTTTTTTGGCGTTGTGAGTGTGAGTGCGTGAATATGCATGAGAATCTCAAGTATGAATTTTGCTTGCCACATTCGCATGCGAGTTTATTCTCGCAGGGAGACTCAATGAATGAGATTTGAGAGTGATTTTCCGAACACTGATAAGGGAAAACAAT